GGCCCATCACCGAGAGGAAGCGGCGCAGGAGAGGTAACGGGGGGCCGAGCGGCCGGCAGCCTGCCCCGGGCGCGGGGAGCACGGGAAAACGGCCCCGGGAGCCAGTCCTTGGGTGCGTTTCGGATTCCTCTGAGCGCCCTCCCCGATGTGGGAAACGCAGCTATTTTTTTTATTATTAGCTTCTGTAAATTATTTTCTCTTGCTAAAGATAAAATTTTGGTCTCTGTCCTGTTTAGAAATGTAACAAATTAAAAAAATATGCATTGAACAAACATGGACTTTTGTTAACTTGCGTAATGTATTAATTGTATCGATTGACATTTTTCTAAAATTGTGACTCATTAGACATTTTTGGTTCTTGCTGAACTGCTGCAGATAATGCACTTTATTTTGCATTTTGGAATGCGAAGTAAACGTGTTCTTACTGAACACAAGTGCAAGAGGAGTGAAAGTCTCGTGCTAAGCCGAGTTGTGCAGAAACACTTATTATTAATCCCTGGCAACCCAGGAGTTTTCATAACAATGTACTAATCTGAGCAAAAGAGAAAGATTCACCAAACCACGCTGAGGCGCACGACGGCGCAGCAGTGACCTCGCGGCCTCCTCTGCACTTGCTCCTGAACTTCGGATTGGAACCAAGGATTTTACCGAACGTGTGGTAACTTGCTGATAATCTTGAACCTTAGTGTTGGTGATAGAAATCCCTCCCTGTCAGGAAAAAAAGAGCATTTTTCAAAGAAATTTTAAGAAGGTTTTCACAGTGGTGTAAGTCTCAGAGACCACCATGTATATAAACACTTTACAGTATGCCGTTGTACATACCAGGGTCTTCTAGTTTTCATTGGGTGCAAGTACCCAATAAACTGAAATAACTTAACTCGCTACTGAAAATAGCAAGGTTTTCCTACACTTCATGGTGTAAACTCTTACACTTCTATTTGCAGGGCTTGTACCCGGCCTGCTTAACTTAGGAAACACCTGCTTCATGAACTCTCTGCTGCAAGGCTTATCTTCCTGTCCCTCTTTCATCAAGTGGCTGGAGGAATTTACAGCACAATACAAGACAGACCAGAACGAGTCCACTGGGCGTCAATACTTGTCACTTACTTTGCTGCATCTCCTAAGAGGTACTTTAACATTTTCATGTTGTGATAAACTAAGAAGAAAACATTTAGCATAAATGTTATCGTTTCTAGCCTCCTTTCCTAAAGAAAGGAAGATCATGTGGTCTTGTATTCTTCTGTTTTTAATTTCCCTCTACTGACTTTGAACTCATTGGCCAAGTTCAACCCAATTTCACGGCGGGGTAGAGATCCAACAGATATTAAGTTACTGTACCAAGCCTGAACAACGCAAGGCCCAGCTGCATGTGTCCCCGAAGCTGTTTGTTTCTTGGGCAACAGCTGAAAAGTTTTAGGTTTTGTTTGACTTGCCTGGCAATTGAGAAGCAGTGGGCGGCCAACCCAGCGTCGTGCACATTGCTCCGAAGAAGCCGTTTGCCAGTAGGTTGAACAAATCGAAGTAGAGGGCAACAGTGGTGCTGAAAATGTGGTTATGGAAGCCGTTGCCACAGGCTTTAATGCATTTGCTGTTCACAGAGTATTAATGGTTAAAACAATATGAATATGGACTCAGTATAATTGAAGAAATAGGAAAATCTTATCACAGTTAGATGGGCACTCAGAATTCTATATAAAAGAAAAAATATGCATTATAAAATAATTTAAGCATTTTTTCCAAGCTTACTATTTTACCCATATGGGTAAAAAAAAAATATGGACTATTAAATGAGATACTTTGTATGATGTTGGATGCAAATATTAAAGCCTCTAAGTCCAGTTTGGTAACCCGTTTCGGACTTGCCCCTGTGCTAAATTCGTGCATCACTTACATCCTATTTAAGCACTCAAAATGTTTAAGCAATTTCTTGGCTCTCCCTGGCTTTCCTCACAGGGCTTTGTTTTAAAGGAAATCCATTGGAAGTTTCCCTGTCTCAGGATACTGTTCATACTAAAATTGTGCCAGTTAAGCATGTACCTTTAACTGATGTAAGGATGATGGGGCATTAATACTAGGGTTTCTGTGACATGTAAAGTACCAGTTTTTACCCAATCCACTAGTAAAAATTTGTCTTTTCAGATAGTGTTTATTCTTTCTGTATCAGTTAGTTGAGAAACCTTTAAATTTGCATATGTATTAGATGAGGAGAATGTATGCAGCCAGTTAGCCTGAGTCAGGTGAGAATGGTAATTAATACATACTAGTTTGATTGTCATTGTCTACCTGTCTTAATCAAGAATAACTACTGTAATCAATTATATGATGCTTAAGTAGCATAAAGTCTAAAATAAACAGATTTGTGTTCTAACTGTTCTTTGTGGCTCCTTCTAATGTTTTTAAATGCAATGTCTCTAGCTTTATCCTGCCAAGAGGTAACAGAAGATGATGTCCTGGATGCAAGCTGCCTGTTAGAAGTTTTAAGGATGTACAGGTGGCAGATCTCATCATTTGAGGAGCAGGTGATTGCAGAATTCAAGTTAGACTGCCTGATATACACCTCAGTGCTTAGATACGGAATAACAGAAAATTGAAGCTGTGGTACTAATAGCCCCGTGTGTCAAATCTGAATCTTTGCTGTAGCGAAAAGTTTGCTTTAAAAAGTGAAGGAAAACAACCATGTGATTGATGAATGGTGTTTTCAGTTTGCTTAGACATTCGTCATGGAAACCCTGGCTGCTTCAAAACCTCATACTTAATTACCATCAGATTTGGTACAATGGAGCCAGTAATATTAAAATAGAACGGATACAGCCCTACATTCGCTATAGATAATGGGTCTATGCTGATGTGCCACGCTGCTTCAAGGGACTAACTTCACTAACACTTCCAAATTTAGTTACATGTAACATACAAGATTTCTAATTCTTGTTTTCAGTATTTTCAGCCCCTAAGTAAGTGCAGCTGGCTGATTAATTTGATTAATTATCTCACCCATGAAGTATGGTTCTATCTTTTATGTTTCAGAGCCAAAGCACACAGCATAGATTTCAATTATGCTTGTATTGAAATCAAGGAAAGCAGGCATTTGTGCATTCATTTTTATTTTTTTCTCCAAGTATTTTAGTCTCTTTTGAGTTTATACGGCCCAGAATATTTTTAATAAAGTGTGCTGTTACGAAGTTCACCTTTATAGAAAAAGCTTTTTGGCAAAACTGCAGCAGATGCACAAATGATTACTATTAACACATAAGCTGGGCTCTAAGCAGTAATTTTTCCTTTAATTTCCTACGGCAATGATGTAGTCATATGTGTGTCAGTACTCCTGGCGTATGTTTTGATGTCTTTTGGTTTTGCTTCCTCTAAGTCTTATGCCTCTATTTAATAGGATGCTCATGAACTATTTCATGTCCTTACCTCCTCGTTAGAAGATGAACGAGATCGTCAGCCACGTGTGACACATTTGTTCGATATGCATTCGCTGGAGGTGACTTCTTTACCAATGTTACTTCGTTATCAGGAGAAGTTTCCGTTGTTGCCTAGATTCCTAAGTGTGTCAAGTACATAGCGTCTGTTTAGAAACTGAAGATATTTTCATTATATTAAGAAAGCTGTTCTTTAGTACTCTGATAGAAATGAATCAATAGGTCAGGCAACCTAAAGAATGAAAAATGTTTTTTGTAAACAAATGTATTTGAATTTACAGTGATCCCACTTTCGTGAGGGCTTTTGCGTTCCTAAATCCATTAAATACAGGGATTGAAATACTAGCACAGTAGTCCATCTAAGCAGTTACTCGTATCTGTAAGAGTTGACACATGAAAGAGGATTGAAAACTGCAAAATGGACATTTATGGAGTAGTCCATTTGGAGGTGAAATTTATCTTATCCTCCAGTCTAGTGGTAAACTTAGTACAGATGGAAAGTTTCTGCCTCTTTTTGTGTAAAATATATACAAAAGGTTAATAAAAATCTCTTCAGCTTTTATTTCAGTACTCTGAGGCAGAGAATTCTGCAGATTAATTATTCATTATATTAGAAGTGTTCATTTTGTCAGTTATAGTTGCATACTAGGTCTTTTGGCCTTTCTCAAATATAAAGAGACACTAAAACTCCGACAATTGTTCTAATGTCAGAAAAGCATATCAGGGATGAAATAAGAACATATTTAATACTTAATGCTTTCTGAGGTGGGGTTAATGAAATCTTTTATCTTCCTCTGTAGCAGTCAGAAATAACCCAAAAGCAAATAAGCTGCAGAACAAGAGGTATGCTTTTTTCCATTCTGAAATATGAATATTCGGTCATAGTGTAGTCACTTTGTTTATTAAGGGAATAATATTAATTACTCTTTTGTCTGTATTGGACTGAAATATATCTCTTCAGCTATAAAAAAAACATTAATTATTTGTCAGTGGGACAGAACATGTTTTAGAGCAGTTATTTTTCTTACTGTGGGCCAAAAATGTGGAATTGTAGCGATGAACACGGATGTACTGAAACTAAAAGGACAATTTCAACTTTGTGTTTCAGGGTCTCTTCCCCCTGTGTCAAACCACTGGAAATCTCAGCATCCTTTTCACGGAAGGCTGACCAGCAACATGGTTTGCAAACACTGTGAACACCAGGTATAAGAATGTGTGTCTCGTAGTGCGTATACATGAAGAAAGGGTGCCTGACATGCAGAGTGCATTCTGAAACCATCATCCCTTGTTTCTGATGTAGTTGGTTTAAGGTTTCCAGGACTGACAGCTTAGACTGTTACTTTTTCAGGTACTTATTATGGCATTGATGATCAACAAGAATGTATCACTAAATATACTGAAGAAAATTAAGCGTGATCCACTTTGTGGGGATAATAGCTGCCCTATCAGACAGAATAATAGCTGTCTTACTGTATTTAGTATTCAGTACCACAGCAATCATATACTGAAAATCCACTCACATGGGTAGCGTTTTAGGAGTAGCTGTTCATTCAGCACACACTATTGAGATTGCACATAAAAAGCCAAATTAAGTTGCAGTCCAGTTATCCAGAGTAAGGAGATGAAGCTAACCTGGATAAAGAAAAAAATATAGAAAGTAAATCTCATTTGTAGATCAAACCGTAAAAGTATGTTTAGTACTTTTACTTTTCAAAACCTTGCAAACAAATTTAAGTGAGCAGGGGCAGCTTCAGCAGAAACAGGCTAAGTAGCACCTTGTGTACCTAGTGTTCCCTAGCACCGTGTTTGGGAAAGCGGGTGGTTTTGACCCTATTCCACCAGATAATTGTGGACAGCAGAGGGCATATGTTCATCTTTTATGAGGTTGGCTTTTTTTTTTTCGACTATCATAAATTTTAGCTCACTGGTTATGTGAAATATTTTCTTGCAGAGTCCTGTCAGGTATGATACCTTTGACAGTCTCTCACTGAGTATTCCAGCAGCTCTGTGGGTACGTATCCCTCGCTGACGCATGATCCAGCCAGTCTGCCTATTGCCTTGTCATAGCTTTACCTTCACTAGTGCCTTTTTGAGATGCTACAGCCTAAGTGTAAATAAGTAGCTACAGTTTATTTTCTTGCCTTTTTATAAATGATCCTGTTGTGCTGATACAGTACCTTATCACTAATGTATTGGTGCAAATTACCAATTAGTACAACAAGCATGACTTTGTTGATGGCAATAGAGTTTTCTGTTTCTCCTGGCAGAGTATTTGGTCCTTTCTGTGTAATTTGAACAGACCAGATCATATCCTGAGGGCTGTTTCTGGCAGTCTTGGAAGGTGACCTTCGGGTGCTCTGTCTCTGTGGTGGTAGTACACAAGTTGCCTAATACCGGCTTTTGGATGAAGTGATTTCAACTGGAAATTATTTCCGTTTCCTTTTGGCTCTCTGAAAAACTTCGAATGACAAAACATTGTAGATTTGGGGGCCAAAATGTGTAGGACATTTTTGAACTATAAAGGTTTGTTACTTAATGTGTGCTAGCGATTTGTCTTTCCAGACAAGTAGCAACTACTTGCACTCATGGAAACTCTGACTCGTTACCTACACAATACACTCTTGGACAGCTAGGATTGAGATTTGGACACACGTTCTGCTATTTGTGTTTTATTTTATACCTTCATTGAAGATTATGCCCTTCATACGTGGCAGTATGTAGTACAGTCTACAAGAAAGGATAGGAAGGAGTGCCTGAATTCAACTAAATGCTATATTTCTCCTATGTAGAGGGTCAGAGTGCATAAAGTGACCCATGAAATCTGGAACTTTAGAGAAAAATAGTAACAGGGCGAGGAATCTGTAGTTTAAAACCCCACTAAAGGAGTCACACAGGGAGTCACAGCTATTGTACTTACATACAGGCTGCAATGTTTTCCATGTTTAATCCAGGCTAAGGAAGAATTCCTATAGTTAGTTACATTATCAGTGTTCTATCCTCAAAGCCATTTAGTAGTTTTCTCAAGAAATAGATCTGCAATATGTCTTCTGTAGGAAAAAATTATGAAAAACCCTTTCACAAAATTAAGTGGTATGCACCCTAAAATTACTGCAGATAACTTTGGTTTTTTGTACTAAGGGTCGTCCTATGACGCTGGACCACTGCCTCCATCATTTCATCTCCTCTGAATCTGTAAAGGATGTTGTGTGTGACAACTGCACTAAAGTATGTAATTTTAATTTATATAATCTTCTAGCTCAGTTTTAAGCCTGCTGACAGAATTATGGCTTCAGTCTTCTATGCCTTTCTTCGTGACTTCAGAAAAGCCTCTAGCCTGCCTGGGACTTCTTATATTTGGAGTTCTTATCTCACAGAATATTTTGAAGCTTTATTTTTTACTAATATTACAAAATTTACAAATATTTTATTCTGTAATTACCAGGTATTATTTAGATTATATTTGGGATAATTTTTTGTTCTGGTATTTTAAACAGTATTTTACAGTTGCCTGTAATTTGATGGTAGCACAGAGCCAAAGTGTCTTGTTTGAAAACCCAACAGAAATGGTATATGACTACACATAAACTTGGAGACTGGGCTTGTTCTGTAAATGCTTATTTCTGCTTGATTTTGGTTTAGAATTCTGATCCATTAGGATAGGCCAACAATCTTAAGAAAGTTCCTAGAAAACTGTAGGTGTAATTAATGTACTGAGCATAGTTCTAGATAGACAATTGTTTTTGTCTGCAGTGTGCAGACCTGCATCATTAGGTGTAATCTGATACAGCAAGTATTTATTGTGGCTTTATTTTTTTCCCTTTGATTTCAGATTCAGGCAGAAGGGACTCTGAATGGACAGAGCATAGAAAACCAGAAAACAACATTTGTTAAGCAATTAAAGTTAGGAAAGGTGAGGCAAGCTAACCCTCCAAATCTATTTTTAAATCCTATTATACAGTAATTTCTTTCTTTGATCTCTTTGCTTGATGTCCACTTCTTGGTATTAGACTTCTTATGTTGTACTTTAAAAAGTAAGCTCATTTGTCAAATATTTGTAGGCACTGAGGCCTCAATTCAGCAAAACATCAAACTCTATAGCTTAAAGAATGTGAGTATTCTACTGTTATTCAGCAAAACACTTAAATGTGAGTTTGGCTCAGTGGCAGTTCATATGTCTTGCATTAATTCTTGATTTCCTTGGTAAGTGAAGTGATTCATGAATACAATGTTTGTAGGATCTTTAGCAATTGCACGTTTCAAAGAAATTAAAATGTTTTAAATACAGCTGGTTTAAACAAGTGAATATGGTGCTAAACATCAGATGTAGTTTATGTTAGAAGCTTTTATTATTTTCTGCTCTGTAATCATATAATGCAGAGGACAACAGGGCACTGGTCTGTAATTAAGAGCCTCAGCTACCATTAATAATATGATGTACTTATTGATAGAGGTTAACCCTGGCATGACATTGAATGTCAGATATTTATAACTACTTGACCTTTTTTTTTCCCCTGGTACTCTCACTGTGCAAAGCCATAACTTATCGAGTATTAGCAAATGTCTTGCAGTAACTCGCTCCAACAAATTCCAATCCTCATTTCTACCACACCGATCAACAAACTAAATGAGATTGACAGGTGGGCTTTTTAGGAACACGCATGTATTTTTATTGATTTTTCTTCCATTTGGAGAAAATGATTAACATTAGCTATCCTACTGCCTAGTGAGCGAGCAGTAGTAGCATTAGCAGAAATCTCGAGAGTTGTTAGTGTCATGTTTTAGGGATTCTATTGTCAATAAGCTTACACACAGATAGAGTAGCACGTAAGGGAACAGTTCAGTGATGTATTTCCTTATCCACTAGACTTACCAGTTCAGTTAGTATGCTTTTAACTTGAACAGCTGTTTCTCTCCATTTAAAATGTATTTTGACTCTCCTTTTCTATGGAATATTGCTGAAGCTCCCGCAGTGTTTGTGCATCCATCTGCAAAGACTGAGCTGGTCAAACCAAGGCACTCCTCTGAAACGTCATGAACATGTACAGTTCAATGAGTTCCTGATCATGGACATCTACAAATACCGCATTCCTGTTCATAAATCAAGCCAGAATGAGCTGAATCAGAAAAACTCTGAAGAGACAACACCTGGAACAAAGGATGGGATAGCAGTAAAACCTTCAGGTACTTATTTTGAAAATAAACTCCATCAGGTATTTCTACGTTTCAGTGATAAAACATTCTAATCTGCAGAATGAACATAAGAGCAGTATCTTTATTTGGATCTGTGCAAAGAGGACAGGTAGAAATCCCTTTCCCAGCAACCATTAGGATACACTGTTCAAGTTTACAGTTCAGTTTTGATAATTTAATTTGTTCGTACTAAATATTTTAAAAACTTACAAACAAAAAAATCCCAGATAGCATAGAACTCACATGTTTTATGTCCAAAGGATGAAGGAATGTTGAACTCGGGAAGTCCTAGGGATTATCTTGCTAGTGATCTCTTCTAAGGCTTCAGGACAAGCATAGAAAGAATGCTGGGAATGGTGACTTCTTAAAAAACAATTAGAAAATCTAGCTGTAGTAGATCTGTCATTTAGGCAGCTCAACATTCTATTTAGTTGGGATTTTGTGAACATCGTCATTTTCATATTTGTGTCATGTAAAAACAATTACCACTGTCTTTGGATATTATACTATGCATCTCTTAAGGGATTGTGATATGTAATGAATTAAAATAATACCTTCATATTCTGTGATGAAAGGTACTGCAGGAACAGAAGCACTGTTACTAGCAATACTAATAGTAGCACTTAAGTTAAATTACTGAATGGCTGCTTTCTCTTGCAGATGCGGAACAGCCATCTGGTACTAAACCTCTCTTTATGAATGGTGCCTGCTCCTCTTCATTTTTAATGTCCGCGGGAACTTTTCCACTTGCTGCATTCCCTGAATGCAGGTAAGTTAGAGACTTCTGTCCCTTCAAATTATGTCTTCCTTTATACTGTCTTTATTATGAGGCTGCATAGTAACAGAATTTAACATCTATCCTAGCTCCTGTGCACAAATGTTTTGCTTTTCTCTTGGCCGATTTTTAGTGGTTATCTTTGGCTCCATTTCTCTCCTAGAAAAGGGAGCAGAGCATATTACAAGCAAAACTCAGAATCTCCATTCTCTGGTTCATGGTGCACTAAATCATCCTTCTGAATAGCCATAATCTTATTCTTACCGTTTTCTTCTTCTTCCTTCCTGTCATTTTTCCTCTTATTCTGATTTTAAAACTACTGCAAGAAATCCATAAATTTCTTACAGATTTTTTTCAAATATTTTATTTAACAAGCTTGATTTAAGTTGCAGCTGCCATGATTCTACTTAGTAAATCAGCCTTAACGCTTCTCCTGGTAATCCGTTTTCTTGGCCTTTGAGAACATCCACTTATTTTCACGCCAGTGACCAATTCCATACACCACTTCCATATACTAGTTCTATACCACTTCTTCTATCTGCCATTGCGTATTTTCCCCATGGGGAAGACAATTCCCACAATCACTGTATGAAATGAGACACCCGGAAGCATTTTGTGCCAAATGTTTGTTATGAAGACAGTTGTAGAGCAACTCCTTGAAAGTGTGTCCTTTGTTATCTGTGGGTTACCTGCTGCAATTTTACCTCGTTTCAGTTAAAAGCACATTCTTCTAGAATAGCTTTTCCGTCCAATAACGGTGCTTTAAGAACTAAATAGTGCCACATTGGTAGGTTTGATGGAAAACGCTGTTGCAAAATTCAATCAGTTATGCTGTACAAAATGTAGTAGCCCTCTGTAGCATAAACTTTTAAAATGAATGGTTCAATTTTCTCAATAATAGAGTAAGGCAGCACTGCAGTGAAGACTTGGTATACAGAAAAGTAATTGCAAGGCAGTATGTCTCTTACAGAGCCGTCTATTTGCTCTAAAAAGAAATGCAACCGAAGACAAAGCAAGTGGGGCTGCTTCTGGTATGTGTGTGATCCATGAGGGCTGCTGACCCTTTCCTTTTTCTCATTTGTCCTTCAGTTCCCCTGTATACCTTTACCGTCTGATGGCAGTTGTAGTTCATCATGGAGACATGCATTCTGGACACTTTGTGACTTACCGCCGCTCTCCACCTTCTCCTAAGAACCCACTCTCTGTCAGCAGTCAGTGGCTATGGATTTCAGATGACACCGTTCGCAAAGCTAGTTTGCAGGAAGTCCTTTCTTCTAGTGCTTACTTGCTTTTTTATGAGCGTGTTCACTCAAGGGTACAGCACCAAAGCTTGGAGTTGAGGGCTGAAGAGTGATTAAGAGAGCAGAAGAAGGACAAAAACTGACAAAATTCCTTTAATGAGATCTACGTTGCACCTCCTGTCTGTTATGCAAATAACCCACCACAGGCCCTTTAACTTTCCCTTCCCTCTATGGCAACGGCTGGCTCCTGCTGGGAGTTGTGTTTTGTACCAAAATTACGCTACCCAAAGTTGGTCTGCTAATGCTGTGCAGTCCAAACTGTATCTGTAGTAGAGAAGCATTTATTCTGTTAGGTACTAATTTTGTCAACATCACAGCTCTGAAACAGACTTCCCAAGGCTGTTTCCATGTTCCGACATGTATGTAAATTTTCAAAGGGAGAGGCTTAATCCTATATGTTTCACTGCAGATGTTTCTGAACAGGGGAGCCCCAGAAGCGGTTGATGGGAAGCTACTGTTATCAAAGGCAATGACTTAAGAAACGAAGTGCCTTGAGCTTATTTGAATAGCAACATTACCATTGTCTGAGTCCACTGCATGTCCATTGCGTTCTGCTAAATGTCTCAAGATGATGGAATGAACTACTAACGGAATCAGATTTCTCTTGATATCCCAGCAAATCAATAAAGTAAAGCATCTCTACGTAACATGCACGATCCAAAAAACAACTTCCCTGTTCACGTCATTTTCCTAATATTTTAGTTCTTTATACATCATAGAATTACTTCTGCTGATTCAAAGTGCAGTTTCCCTTTTCCAGGAGAAAAGATGAATTTTTTATCTATTAAAAGCCAAGACCCTGATTCATTGCTCTGTATCTTTGGAATATAGCTGAAATTAAAAGACAGAAGCGTTTGCTAGCCATCAGTATTGTAATTTCCTTCGTCACTCTGAAACTGTTGAGTACGGTTGCTTGTAGTATCAACTACAACTTTTAATGCTGTGATTTCAAGGCTACTGTAATTAGTGTTCTAGATTTGCCCTTCCTATTTTAATGCTGAAAACTGCCATTTCTCATCAGCCATTCAGATACATGCTGTCTGGCTTGCAGTTGAGCTTTAGAGCTTGTACCGGTTGTGATTGTGAGCCGAGATGTATAGCAACCCAAGCATCCTTGTTAAGTTAGAGTATACACGATTGAATCAGGACTGGTGGGCACTTACTTGTCTTGTGAAGTAGTACAGCAGTCTGAGAAGACTGGTGTCACTGCATTAGGTACACAGATTGCCATATAAATAGAATGCTGCTCTAGATTGTTTGACGTGCAAAAAAAAACATCCCAAACAAAGGGAGGGAGAAGCAGCAAAAATTACCCTTTTGACTGCTTTTAAATTATCAGGAATAAAGTATGTAGGCTATTTTTAGCTCTTTTCTATCCTTGTAAGCTTGGAGGAAAAAAATAATTAATCAGACAGGCTTTTTCAGTGTAAAACAGCAACTAAGTTTTCAAATGGTAACAACTGTCTTAATAGTTTTTTATGGCAACTTTGTACCTCATATATTCATATTGCTGCCCAAAGCTCATAGGCATTCAGAGTTCCTTAACGGGAGGCTCAAAACCAGCCAAAATAGGAGTGATAATAGATGTATATGAAAAACTATTTACACAACTCATCATTCCAGAGTATGGATCTCAATTCCTGCTCCAAGTAATGCCTTTAGTCTTTATAAATCCACCAACGTACTAGTTCCTGAGAAGTCTCCCCGTCCGTGCTAGGCTAGCAGTAGCATGGTTTTAACCTTTTTATTTTAAGTTGCGGAAAAACAACAACAAAAACAAAAAACCTAGAAGGATGCAAAATGCCAAAAATGCCCAGGCCATTGAACTAAGACCTAACAGACTTACAGAAGGTAAAAGAAAGCCCTCCACTCTGGGCAGCATGGGTGTGCAGTAGAAGCTCTGTAAAGCAGCGATGGGTGTCACCTAAGGAAAAACATCATGCAAAGCATCTAGGTCCAGCAGTTCTACCGTTTGTACCTCAGAACTTCAAAACATTTCCACTGCCAGCAGTGTATATTCTGCAATGCCTATTCTCAACAGGGTCTGTTCAGAGTTTTTAACTCTGAATTTTTGTGAAATTCATCTGAACAGGTCACTTTGTTTAGAAAGCAGTAATGCTGGAGGTGGGTCAGAACACATGCACACAATGGACTAAGTCTTAAACTCATCAGCTTGTAACAGGGACATAAAGCCACATATTACTGCAAGCTTGCATGTTCAATATGTTTTTCTTTTCCTTTTGCATAGAGCTGCTTTCCAACAGGGACCAGTTTGATGAGAATGAAAGCACAGTTGTGTACAACACTGATTGATAAACTGCTCAGTTTCACTCAGCTGCAGATCTGCTCAGAAAGCTTCCTCAAGGGCTATAAAGATGAGGGTTGAGTAGTCAGCATTTGTTCTCACTTTCCTTGTTAGGAAGGAGTAGATGGTCTTGGCTTAGCCCTCAGTGTGAGGAAGGAAGCAAAGTGTCAGCACCTCGGTTCTGGTCCTGAGCTGTGCTAGATGCTCCCAGCTTACTGTGAGCATCAAAGACCTGTGCAGGTGTTTGCCACCCAACCCTCACCTTTTGAAGTCATTGGGCTCTGTGCAGGCGTGAGGCTCATCAAACGCTTGTTACTCACAAGCTTCCATGGTGGAGAAGGTGTTAATAAAACGTAAAAGGTTAAAAAACATCAGGTAAGATCTCCAAGATGACATCTCTGTGTTTGAATTATTCTTGTCTTATTTTGTGCATTATTTAAAAATGTATGATATTATAGTCAAACCACTGCACTGCTGTTTGAAATTGTGTTTTCACTTCAGGGTATTTTTGTAACTGTACAGTAGCAATAAAAACCCAAACTTATTAGAAAAAGTAGCTGTTCACGTGTGGTAATGCCTTGAAACAAAGAGCACTTCACATTCTCTGGATAAGAAGCATTCATGCAGGAGCTCTTTGTGCTACATATAGCATTTTCTGATAGTGGCAGTGTCTAAACAGACATTTAATTCCGTAGCCCTAATGGGCCTACCGCTGAAGGATAGAGCCCATCACTAATTCAGATGCTTGTAGCCTGGTTACACAAGGATCAGTTCACTTTATCAGGACTTACCATTGCTTGATTCTGCAAGACCTGTTGGTGACTTTGGATGCTCTTTCCTCGTTCCAGCAGGATTCACTGTCAGCATGGAAGGTGATGGCTTTCAGGTAGTCAGAATGGAATCCCTAGGGATAATTATTTAGAAAAACAGACACTCTCAGAAGTTAAGCCTTTCACGCTGCATTGTCCATATAAATGGTCCAACCCAGTTGTTCCCCAAAAGGTCATCTTACACTCCCTGGTTTCTGTACAGACAAAGGACCGAAGGAAGAAGAGACCCTCTCCCTGTGTGGTAGCACCTCGTGCTTCCTCCTGCCCCACCACGCTACTGACCTAAAGAACCCAGTCGCCCATGTCAGCAGAGGAATATAAGCAGACAAAAGTCATAGTGACTGTAAAGCATGCAGCCAGCCATGTTGCACTTGCTATATTCATATCTTAGTGCGCCTCTTTTTCATGTCAGTCTCATTTGTATTTTATTTTTAAAAAAACAAGCAAACCATAGCTCATTGACGGAGCATACAAGAAAGTGTCACCTGTTGAACAGTATCAGCTTCCAGGCTCACTCTAAATTATTACATCTTGTATTTTATAGCATTTATAAACTATTTCACTGCTATCTGAAGGATATAGAATATTTTGATCTTTTCATAAAACTGGCTAGATTAAGATCAGTTGAGAACAAACTTCCTCCTGAGCAACACAAGGGTATTACTCATTAAAAATATGTATCAGCAGGACTACAGCAAAGTTTCACAGAGAAAAAGTATTCTTGGCATTCAAGATCAGTAGCCGCAGTCTTTATTAGCAAGTTACCAAGTACGCTATCTCCTCTCATGGTTTAATTTGTTCATCCGGTACCTTGGATCATCAAAGATCGTGTTTGAACGAGAAACTGACAGAAAGCTTCTATTTTCAGAGACAAAAGACCTGGTGCTTGATTGCTGAGTATTTCACTTCTTGGCTATAGTCATCACTTTCCGAAATGTGAGGTTGATTCTAGGGGCAAGTACTCTCTTGCGGGTGGGCAGGCTGTGGTACCAATACACATTGGTGGGGTACTTCATCATCAGCAGGCTACCATGGGCTAGCTGCAGTTTGATGGGCTTAATGTGGCGCGTTGCGTTTTTCCCTCTGGAATCACAGTGCCTGAAAACAAAGTCCCTGCAAGCTCCGAAGGACACAGATGCAATCGGACTGCGTGGAACCAGTTCTCTCTCGTCATCTCGATGTTCACCTATGTGGTCTCCACCATCTTTGTATCTGTACACAGAATAGATTAGTTAGTTCTTCTACCAATCCAATTAAATGAATGTCGAAACAACTCCTCAGTTGATCTGTCAACAGTGTTGCACAAGCAACTTTTCATATGAACAAGCTGCTTGATGCAATTGGAAATCAGACATACCTGTTAATAAGAACAAAATTAAAAGTATGTCCTGTGTCCAAAGTGATGCGGTCTCTGATACGGTTGAGAACTGGGATCCATGGCTTAGGAGAGAAGGTAACGCCCGAGTAAGTGTATGTTAACTCCGGGTCTCCATAGGTTACCTGCTTCCTTGGAATGTCATGCCATTTGCCAAACACGTGCAATCTCGTCATTTCACCTGTTTAAACAAGAAATGAGAAGGATCAAAACCAACTCTGTGTTACCTCTGCAGTTCACAGTTTCAACATTCTCCTTGATTTGGAGCTTCTGTGAATCTCCAGTGGGACGACAGAAATGAGGAGGCTTATGACAACCCAAAAGCTGCCATCTGTGTTGAAGTGTTTCTGTCCCAACAAAGCACTTAACACTCAAGTTTGACACTGCCTTACAAGCCCCCTTGAATGGGATGAACAGGACTAGCACCCCCACCATATTTTGTTGTTGAATTAATATGACCGGGGATATCTCATACACTACATCCACCAACAAATTCCTGTCACCCTTCCAAGACTACGCCGGTTCTTTGGAAACATTAAAATG